CGTAGATATTTTCTTCAGGGAGGGCGAGGTATTGGGGGTAACAGGGAAGACGGTACACGAAGTTCCACTGAAGCAAGATAGGGTAACCTACGTAAAGGAAAGGAGATACCCGCAGGCGCTGAGGCAGCATATTCGGGAGGAATTGGAAAGCCTAAAGGAGCAAGGGATCATAGTCGATAGCACCTCGCCATTTAATAGTCCCCTGTGGGCGGTGAAAAAGAAGGCAGCGCCGGGGGATAATAAGGAAAAATACAGAGTGGTAGTGGACTATCGTAAGTTGAACGACAACACGGTAGACGAAAAGTACCCGATCCCCAGATTCGAGGATATACTCGATAGGTTGAGTGGGGCCGTGGTGTTTAGCACGTTGGACCTCAAGGCGGGATATCACCAAATACGGATGCACCCGAAGGATCAACATAAAACGGCGTTTACATTCGAAAGGGGGCATTACGAATTCACCAGAATGCCGTTTGGTCTGAAGAATGCGCCCATAACGTTTCAACGCCTGATGGACGAATTTTTGAGGGGTATCGACGACTCCGTATGTCAAGTATACATGGACGACCTGCTGATTTTTAGCAGAACGGAAGCCGAACACGTGGGGCATTTGAGGGCGGTATTCGAAAGGCTGCGACAATTCGGGCTGAAACTGTCAAGCGAGAAGTCCCTGTTGGGACAAACGCGGATCAATTTTTTAGGCCACACTATTTCTAGCGAGGGGGTCAGACCGGATGCGGCAAAGGTGGAGGCAATCACACGAATGGCGGTGCCACGGGACGTTAAAGGGATTCGTAGGCTTCTCGGGACGCTGAATTATTATAGAAGATTCGTACCTGAGATGGCAGAATACTTGGTACCTATCAATAACTTGCTGAAGAAAGGCGCGAGGATCGTGGTGACACCAGAAATGGAAAATAATATTCGGAAATGCATGGATAGGTTGCAGGCAGAACCCGTATTGGCGTTCACGGATTTTGAGAAGCAGTTCAACATCACCACCGATGCGAGCGAATACGCGTTGGGGGCCGTTTTGTCCCAGGGCAGAAGTGAGGGTGAACGTCCGATAGCATACGCGAGCCGACGACTTACGAGCGCGGAATCACGGTACAGCGCGTTAGAGAGGGAGCTACTCGCGATAGTGTGGGCCATCGACCATTTCAGGCCATACATATTTGGGAGGAAGTTTCGAGTCCACACCGATCACAAACCCCTTCAGTGGGTAGGAAAACTTAAGGAAACCTCTGCGAGGGTCACGAGATGGAAAGAATTCCTTAGTCAGTACAACATGGAGGTGGTGTATAAGCCGGGAAAGGAAAACGTGGTGGCAGACTGGCTCTCTAGGGCCATCATGATCAACGCGGTAGAAGAGGACGGGGGAGGTCCATCGCGGGACGTGCGCCAATTCTTGAGGGAATGGACTCCTGAGGGTGAAGGGGCAGATGATACCGTCAGTATAGAGGACAGGGAGGGGTCCCCGGAAGAAGATAGCTCAGCGGAGGAAAGACCAGCGGAGATGGAGGAAATAGACGAAATCATCAACGACAAGCATAGACAGGTAATCTGGAAAACAAGGACAACAGGGATCATGAAAATAGATTACCGAAGATACGGGAAAAGTAGGATTCGCGTCATTTGGTCGCAACCCGGGGTGAGCGAGGAGCAAATCCGTACGGCACTGAAGGACGCCACGGAACCGGGAAAGACACACCATCTCTATGTTGGGAACAACACGGTATGGGAGAAAATAAAGCGGATGTGGAGATCCGAGCGAATAGGCATGGATAGAACGATCATCCGGTGCAAGTATGCAGTGGAAACCGTACAGGATGAGGAGCAACAACAAGCAGTCACATTGGCATACCACCAGGGGAAGACCAACCACCGAGGCGTCAACGAGACGTTGCAGGCATTACGGCGAAAGTATTTCTGGTGGGGAATGAAAAAATCTATCCAAGGAATCATCGGGAAATGCGAGGTATGTATGCGCACAAAGTATGATCGACACCCCCCCAGAGGAGTTCAGGAAGAGACACCTACAGGGAATATGCCGCTACAAGACCTCCAGATTGATACATTCACCTGGAAAGGGTTCAAGTGGGTCACGATCATCGACACCTTTAGTAAAGTAGCTATGGCACATCAGGTCATGGACAAGTCTGCCAATGCAGTTGCGGAAGCCCTACAAATCTGGATACAGTTTTACGGAGTTCCCGAGAGGATCACATCAGACGGGGGCAGAGAGTTCGACAATACCGCGATTAGGGAGGAGGTGAAAAGGTTAGAGGTTGTGTGGCATTATAACACACCGGGACACCCTAAGAGTAGAGGAGGAATCGAACGATTGCACAGCACGTTGAGTGACCACATCCGTGTATATCAGGGAGAGAAAGGGTTGGAGCCGGATGTTGCGATGAAGAAAGCCGTAACAGCTTATAACCATTCGATCCACTCCGTAACGGGGTTTTCACCTGTGGAAATACTATTCGGGATGCGCAGGCCAAGGAGAGATTGGGGGGAAACAACGACCAATGAACATCTCGTAGAGCAAATCCAGAGTACTAGGGTAGAGGTAGAAAAGACGTGGGGAAAGGTAACGGGGAGAATTCAGCGGGAAAAGGAGAAGCGGGTAGCGCGGCAGAATGTGCAGGTACGTGACCGAATGGGAGAATTAAAAATCGGAACAATAGTGTACCGTAGAATTGGAACCAACAGAGGGAAACAATTGTTACGGTACGAGGGCCCATTCAGAGTGGTTGCTATTAGGGAGCATAATCTGCTAACCATTGAAAGCATTAACGAACCTAAGAAGAGGAGAACTGTTCATATTGAACAATTGAAGCTCCCAATGTTAGAACCGGTACATAAACCAATTGATTCGTAGTACCCTTATCGCGTATTATAAGAAATATGTTTTTTTTTATTATTATTGTTGATGATGTCATTTTTTTTTTGTTTTGTTGTTCTTGTAAATAAAGATATAGCAACATAATAGAGGCGATTGTAATTTTTATAGGATTAAGAGCTCTGTTCCATTGTTAATAAGACGTTGTGTGTTTACTTTCTGTGTTTTATTTCTTTTTATTTATTTCTCGTTCCAGCGGAGTGGAAGTGAGTTTTGGTGTACTTTAAGTTTATACCGGTACGAATAATTGTAAAGGGTTAAGGCTGATACCGGTGGCTCCGATCTAGGAATTTATAAGTTTCCGAAAATCCTATTCGTAAACTGGTTGGGGGGAGATAGAGACCGGAGACTGGCGATATCAGCCTTAATACCATCTTGTAATGTAAATAAACATAACAATTGTATATAAGGCAGATTATTGAACGAATAAAGCAGTGTTTATTCAGAAGCCGTGAGTATTGTTTCTCGACCCTTTTTCCTTCTTTTTTTTTATTTTCAAAGCCCGCCGACGCTTAACTTATACAAGGACACACACACCTGTAGAAATTATAAACTTTTTAGTTGACAAAATATGAGAGAAAAACTCACCAATGAAGAAAAAAACCTGCTATTTCTGAAATTACAACTTATGAAAATTAATATCAATTATGACAATTTTGTATAATGTAAATTTTCGGTTTTTTAAGCTAAACATAATTTTAAATATTTTTGATTATTTTCCGTTTAAATAATAGGGTTTATAAAAAAATTAATGGTTTTTAACCAAATATTTGTATCATTATTTCTTTGATATAAGATACAATTAACACCCAAAGTATAGTCCATTGTTATCAATTTGCTAGGCAATTGCTCGATCCCACGCTGATACCATTCTTCGGTATGGTTGTTAAAGAACTCTCGGACCGCAATTTCAAATTATAATTTTTTTTTCCTTTGAGTGTGAGGACAAGCATTATGTTGTTGCAATACAATTTCTTTTCGGTTGATCAAAGCAAGATAACGCTCTGACAACTTCGGGAACAATATTTCCAGTTGTTCGCAGTCGAGTTCAGAATTCATAGAGCATCCATCAGTAACGAATTTGTGATAAATAACATCTTAAAAATCCCAAAAAACGAAAAGTGCGAGTTTTTTTTTCAAATTACCCTCGCACAGCTATCGGAGTAGCAGTTTGACCATGATATAGTATACAGATTGCTAACGCAATTATGCCAATAAACCAACTTTTCACCACAGGTGACAACTTCCCAGTAAAATCTCATATCAGAAGGGATTTTCAATAAATTTTCAGAAATATCTAGCCTTTTAGTTGATTGCTGAGGAGTAAGTTCGTGAGGGACCAGTCTGTTAGTTTCAATGAGGATAACATCTAGCTGATATTTAAGATAATTTAATTTATCTAATATATATATATATATATATATATATATATATATATATATATATATATATATTAGATATAATAGATTAAATGAATGAATAATCGATTTTACATAATATAATGAATTAACTCATAATCGTTAAAGCCATTTTCATTAAAATATTTAAAATTTATTTGGCATCAGGAAACCTTAACATGTATTTCCGTTGAACATTCAGATTTGATATATTTCATTATCGTAATATATTCTCTTAAGACATATTTCATTGATTCATTTCACTTGGGGGAGGAGTGGCAGAGCAGGCAAACGCGTGTGTACAAAACAGCACGTTGACTGGCAACACGGATAGAAGATAATGTGATAAAATAATACCGAGTTCGCGTCCCGGCGCCAAAGTGGGCTTTTTAACTCTGACATTAATCCCCCGCCACCTCTGGCCCGGGAAACCTTCGTATAGCCTAAAAGGCGTGGAAGGGGAGGACAAAAGTTATTTTTTTATTTTTTTTTAGAATTTTATCTGTATTTATTCACAGTTCATATAAAAAACAAATCAGATTTCCATATACTATGACGAATCAATAACACTTGAATTATACAATGATAATTTAGCCGATGAAAATCTATATATTTTAAAAATATCATAGCTGCTTTTTATAAAAAGTATAATTCAAATACTAAAAATTTCAAAAGAATACTTAAGAATATAAGCATCTGTTGCGTTTATTGAGTTTTATCAAAAATCAACACAGCATATGATCTTGTTAAAATATGTAATTAATCAAAAAAAATAAATTAATATTTTAAAAGTTTATTATAAAAAAAATCTACAACAAAATCATGAGTTTACCTATCAAAACGGAGTACGATGGTAGCCTGGTGGAAGAAATAGTCAAAGCGCTTCAAGACCCACCGATAGAACTCAAAAGGAAACTACAAATTGTGACGGAGAGGTTCACGCAGAACGGGACGTGGTTGCCCAGAAAGGAAATATTCATCAGATTGGTGAGGAAGAGGCTAGGCAAGAAAATAGGTGAGAAAAAAGTGATGTGTAAATGGAACGATGCCGGTAGAAAATCGAGCACAGTATGACAAAAAATGTTAACTCGTACTAATTTTAATGTAAATTATAGTCAATGTCGTTTGTACGTTGTGTACCATTTATTCACTATTTTATTAATTATAAACTAATCTAATTATAAAAGCAATTATTATTTATAAAATTTTGTTATTCCAATTTTAGATTCATTCTTAGAACAATTTATGTACTACTAACGATTAAACTTGAAATCTGACTACTTCAAATTTGTGCTTTTGAGTTATTTAAGTATGTTTTTTACTTTCACTTACCTATATATGTAATATATAGTAAGGGTAAGTATTGTGATCGTGAAAATTTTTAAATCTGAATGTTCAACGGAAATAAACGTTTTGAGGTCCTCTGAGTCTAGTCCCGCAAAATGGTCTGTGTGTGAGTGTGTTAACGGTCTAGCTCCAAACGAAAAGTCGTACGGAAGTGAAATTGCATATTTAAGGTTTTTATATGCTAGGGACGTTACAGCAACTTTTTCGTCAAAATCGGCTAACCGGAAATGGTATTTTATATAATGGACTAAACACATTTTTACGATTATCTCGAAAACTGCTCCAACGATTTTGATTAAATTCATCATTGTAACATTAACCAGTTTTAAATAAAATGTGGTTATTATTCTGATTGATGTTCTTTGATAGGGCTTAAATGGCTAATTTTGGCATATTAGCTTCCTCTAAAGTATCTTTTAATTTTTTTATATGAAATAATTGACGATTTCACATTAATTTATAATATGAAAAATGGTTCAATATAAAATATGAAAGAATTTGATAAATAACTATAGGATAAATAAAAGATCGTAACGGAGAATAGTTGTTATTGAGGAACCAAAGGAGTACGAGCGCACCCAAACTCGCCCGAACGATTAGAACACGCTTCCATACACATCAAGATATTAATATAATACGGACTCCGACAATATTATATAAATAAACATATGTGGTTTTCATAAATGCTATTGTTGGTATTATTTAATATTTAATTGTATAGATTACAGCGTTATGAATATTAAAATTTGTATATATAAGAGTACTTATACAAATAACAATGGCCACAATAAAATACAAATAAATATAACATTTATAATTTTTAATTTCACTTCCCATTTGTCTGAAAATACTTATTTCTGCTAAGAAGAGAGTGGTAACTGAAAGTTATGTGATGCGCTCACTGCGCCAGATTTTTTTTAATAATAGTGAGCGATAACTAAAAAATATCTATAATTTTATTTTTTATTATTTATTTATATGATATTTACAACTGTATAAAAAAAATACATCTGGTAAATTCGCACATGGATATAATGACATGGAACACATGTTGAGAAACTACCCATTGTTAGCACTCTAAAAAAATATCTAGTTTAAGTAATTAACTATTGCTTCACAGTAAGCTAGCTAAACTTTACTTCAAAATACAGTAGAGTTTGTCATTGTTGAAACCATTTAAACATAAGTTTTGAGTAGATAAACTAAGCAAAGTTCTTGTTTATAAAAAAAAATTTAACACTCACCAACTATACTGCAGATATCCTACTTTCATAAAATCTTGTTTAATAAGCCCATATTAATTAAGTTGATTTATATTACGAAATACAAGATTCACTTTAAGAGTAAAAACATGAGGCGAATTGATATATCACCTACAATAAATTATGGGAAAGGTTTAATTTATTTTATTTTCATGACCTGGCACGTATTATAATTAGTGTAACTGCATAAATACACTTTTTATATTCACAAAAAAAAGTTCAATATCATGATTTTTCATAGGATTAGAAGGAACAGGAAGCTTTATGGCCTTTACGGAGATATTGACGTTGTAAAGTTTATAAAATTGGAAAGGCTCAGTCGCAAAGATGGAAGCAGAAGAAAATCCTAAAAAAGTAGTGGACACCGCCCTTCACGGTACACGACGGACTGGTAGGGCAAGGCTTCGATGGGTTGATGGAATCACAGCGGGCGCACTGCTATGGATCAGATGCTGGAGAACGGCAGCACAAAATCGAGTCGAATGGCGATGGCTCAAAGATCCACAAAGCAAAGCAAAGATCCACCCAGGGTTGTAGCGCCACGTAGGTTATGTAAGATAGCTAGGTAAGTAGGTAGGTGGGATGGCTGTGATAAAAATTGAGTACTACTTGCGCAATAAGCAATAGCAGCTTTTTTTTTTTTTTGGTTTCGTAATAGACATATTTATAGCTATAAAAGCTTTTATGAAATAAGTAGGAAAGGCGTGCGATGGACACACCAGATTTTCAAGCTGTTACTTAAATATCATCAATATTGTTAATCAGTACAAATATGTGCAAACACTCATATTTTTATTTACAAATTAATAAGTTTACTTACACTTTATTTATTTTAATTTTAAGATTAAATTATTATGTTAACTAATTATTGTCTATTTTCTTTCTAAAATAATGGAGTATTTTCGCTGTATCGAAACACTGTCAGGGTTGCGTTTTCTATCCGTTTTGGAACCCCTAGATCAGGATTCTCTAATTTTTAGAGATGTTAGTTTTATACATATATATATATATATATATGTATAAAACTAACATATGTATATATATATAGATAAAAAATGTCAACGTTCCAGCTTTGTTAGGAGGATCTGAGGAGAGCACAATGCTTTAAATACAGGGAAAAACGTTCTTAGTTGCGGAAATTTTGATGAAACTTTTCCAAAATTTGATAGTATTGTTCGGCTTGGAAACCAATTCCATATACTGAATTTGAGCTTATTCGGTCTAATAGCGGCCGCTGGGAAAGCCGAAACATAGCGGAAAATATATATACTTATATATATATATATATATATATATATATATATATATATATATATATATATATATATATATATATATATATGTATAGTTTTATACATATATATATATATATATAGCGGAAAATATATATACTTATATATATATATATATATATATATATGTATAGTTTTTATACATATATATATATATATATATATATGTATAAAACTATACATATATATATATATATATATATATATATATATATATATATATATATATATATATATATAAGTATATATATTTTCCGCTATGTTTCGGCTTTCCCAGCGGCCGCTATTAGACCGAATAAGCTCAAATTCAGTATATGGAATTGGTTTCCAAGCCGAACAATACTATCAAATTTTGGAAAAGTTTCATCAAAATTTCCGCAACTAAGAACGTTTTTCCCTGTATTTAAAGCATTGTGCTCTCCTCAGATCCTCCTAACAAAGCTGGAACGTTGACATTTTTTATCTATATTAAGTTGGTGTTGGAGAGGTGCCTTTGAGGGGTCTCATCACCAGCCGCCATTTTGTTTCAAGATGGTGGCGGTAAACGGTATTAATAAAAACTTCCCACACTATAAATTTATGTATATAACCTACTTCCTCGGAAAAGGAGACCTGAAAAGGAGTTTTGATGAATACAAAAGTGCATTTGAGATTAACTCAAAAATGGTGCACTTTTTCCCTTTTTTGGATCAGAACATATTTTGAGGACATTTAAATTTTCTAAATGATAAAAAAACTGTCATCGAATTCCGTTCATTAATTACAAAGCTCCGTCATACACTTTATTTAAGACAAAACAATGGCCAACTTAAAAAAATTCTTTAAATATTTGGAACAACATATCTTTTTACCAAATCTTCATATTTTAAAGATATTTTTTAGCTAATTTAGTATACTTTCAAATAACCATGTACAATATCAACAAAAAAGTTGATACTTTTTGTGTTATTCAGATATCCAATTTTTTCACCGTAATTATTTTTTCCGTCTTCTTCTGGTTGAAGTTTAATAAAGAAATTAATTCAAAGTTCTTCGAGGAAAAGACTTAGGCCATCTTTCATTAAAATCGGTTCATCGGTTAGGCGCTGCATCGTTTTTTTTTTTTTTATTTATATCTCAAACCTACCCGTAGAGTCCTAATTAAGGTATGACAATTTTTATAATAATATACGTAGCTTATTAAAAATATATACTATTAAATAAATATTTTTAAATTTTCTAATCATTTTGTATAAATATTTTTCAATTTGATAGTTAAAGTCTTTCGCTATACGTATTGAACTATTTCAAACTATTTGAAATAATAATCTAATAAGCTTTTGGGTTATAATTTACAAAACTTTTATTCTATTTAACGCCAATGAAACAATTTAATCCCTTTTTATTTAAAAAAAAAATTAAAAATAAGTGGAAAATGGAACCACAGTGATGGAGCTCTGTTGCACACGCCTTTTTTTTAAATTTTCTTATAATACCAAACAAATATCATATTTTTGTTAATTGAAATTATTCTTAGGGTACTAAATTTCCCAGAATAAAGTTTACTTTTCTTATTATTCTTTCTTCTGACTAAATGTTCCTAATCGTAATATTTAAGTTTTCGTGAAAATAATTCACGAAATCAAATGATCTCTCTATTTTAAAGCCCTCGTGGTCTGTTATTACCACTTTAAATACTTCTCACTACTTTCAGGATACTCAGTGTAAATCAGCAATCCCACAATTCCTTTCAAATCCATTTTAAGTCCTCTGTGATGTTATCAATTTAAGTTATCAAAAATCATAGAAAAGAATATGCATGCTTACTTGATAATTATACATTTATTATATTTTCAATAATCAACTATTGTGATCGACCAAAAAATTCAAAAACTTAACCCCCTCTCAAAATTTGAGGTTTCACGTTTCAGGATGCGCAGAATTCGAAAAACGAATACGAATTTTTTTGTCCGTCCGCCGTCCGCCGTACGCCGTACGAGCATTTTCTCCTAAACTACTGGGACGATTTTCTTATATTTGGATATAAAATCAGTGGTCACCCGAGGATGATCCTCCTTCATCGAAATTACTATGCACCTTTTACTTTCAAAATGGCGGCCAAAAAACCTGCGTTGCTATAGACTGTAGGTCCTAAACGAATGTACTGATTTCAATGAAACTTCTCCAAAGTCATTTTACCTACGCCCTTTAAATTTATCTATATAACACACTTGAACGAAAAGAAGCTGGAAAAAAAAACGAGCGATGGTACAATTAAATTCAGAATAACTCAAAAAGTTTACACGAACAAATCATTAAAATCGGACAATTATGAGCAAAGATATGGTCTTCAGTTCTTTTTTCTATGTTCCATTCCAAATGTTATATCCTTTTTTTGTTTTTTTAAATTTTGAATGTGTTACTGAAGTAATGCTATTTTGTTTTAGCATATTACTAATGATTAAAAAAAAAATGTTTAGTTCAATAATTGGAATCATCTTTTATTTATTTTTCTTTGTAACAAGGAAGGTAATGTTACTTTAGCTGTATAATTTTTTGGAAATAATAAACCATTGTGAAATAATGTGCAGCGTTTTTTTTTATTGTATCTCTGCTGCAGATATAAATCATCTTACAACAGTAAGTGCATCCGCAGTCCAATCGTCCCGATGTTAAGGCCGTTCATAACAATGAAAAAGTTTAATGAGAAAAGTTTGATGGTGCACCGGCACCGACAATTTATTCCCTGCCCATTAATCACCCAGGCACGACTCCGACTACAAATTCCGAAAGCCATCCATTATGGTTTGTCTCACTAAAATATATTTTAAAAATGAGATATATAGACAATATAAAATAATGATCTTTCTGGTGAATTTTATAATTATTATCGATTGGATTATTATACAAACAGAATTTATGGATATATTAGTATATCTCAGTGACAACCCTCATAATAAATAGGTGACATATTCCCTATTCAATTTGACATGTTGTGTGCCATACCAGTGAGTTGTATTTATTCCTAATAATATTAAGATAGGCTATTCAAAACACGCAATTGGTGAAACTTCATACTTCGTTAAAGTCACTATTCCTTAATGAGTGATTAGCTTAATCCACTGTAAAATATTTTATTTGTTTAGATTAAACGCTAGGGAGAGGAGAGACATTGGTACGTGTCTTGAAAATTTACAGCTAAAAATGAATAATGTAAAAAAGTGAAAAATATCTTTGATTTCTTCTTAGTATATACAACTTCAAATAATTACACGATTTTCACATTTCGACTAGTTTGCATCTGAGAATGTACGTGAAAGTCGAGGGGTGGACAATATCACGTGAAAATTGAAACGTGGTGTTTGAAACTGATGGTTATAAATATTTTGCTGTTATTTTTTTCTCAACGGAAAAACAACAACAACTCAATTATATTGTATATTATATATTATAGATATACAATAATCAAAAGTTTATTATCCCTATTATTTTTTTATAATAATGAAAAATATAACATCTGTATATAGCATCCATGATACTCATTTGAAGTTTGGCAAGATAATTATCAAATCATTTTCAAACAATTGAAATGATAGCCTTTTAGATATGTCTGAAATCAAAAAGAAAATTAATTTCAGTGAACACGCGAGATAAACAGATATTTATTATAATTATATTTCAGAATTGATCAATAAATTACTACAGATGTTTTCAAACAATTACCTGTCATACATTTGGCTCTATTATAAATATTAGATTATCGCTTAGAAGTAGTTCGTATCATTAGAAAACATTTTAAAAAGATATTTTCGATGAACTTTCAACTCAAAAAAGGAAACGAGATCAAGAAGAAGCTGAGGAATGATATCATAAACGTACTTCAAGACCCTCCGATAGAACTCCAAAGAAAGCTGGTAACGGTCTCTGAGAGATTCACCAAGTTCGGAACGAAGATACTCAAAAAGGAGAACATGTATATCAAAGTTGTGAGAAAGAGGATGGGGAGGAAGATTGGAGAAAAGATCGGAGAGAAGAAGAAATTGAATCGATCTCATGCCTAATGTTCTGGTACTATCTTTTAAAGAAAATTAAAGTGTATGAAATTGTCTATACTGTTTTTATCATTTACTTATCGTATTATTAACATTATTATAATAGGTGTACAATAGTCCTTCATGTCCGCGGTGCAATTTGCCACAAAAGGGAAAATAAGTAATTATTTAAGAATATTCTTTATAAATCATATATATATTAAATATATATTTAAATATATATTACTGCAATTTTTTGGTATCATCTCAAGTTCTTAAGGAATTTTTTACTAAGAATTTTAAATCTGTGTGTGCCGTTGTTGTTTTTGTTATTTAGGGCTTAGAGGCGTAAACATGGAATAGAGAAAAAATAAATAAAACTCTCAAAATTATTTTTTTTTTTTTTTTAGTAAATCATTAGTTTTCAGAAAATTTATCACCGACCTCACTTGAACTTCATCATTATTTCAAACTGATAATTTTGGTATGAGTACTAACTTGGTTAGAATTGACAGTTCACTCTTGGAGAAATGTGGCTAACCGTGAGAATCCGTCGCAATGTTGGCATTTTTGTGCATACTGTGTGGTTATGAGACAAGAATGCGTGATGTCGGTATGCCCTACCCTTAGTCTAGTCAATGCAACTTCCTTTCTACGAATAGGGTGGTTCGAGTTGGACCATGGTTTTACAGATTACTTGATGTCCTTCGGTTCACTCGGTGGACTCTCGTTCCACATGGATTGCCAGCCTACAGTTATTTGTGGGCGGGGTGGCCGAACAGGCGTACACGTACAGGAAATCGAGACTACGAGGAGCTAGTTGAATTTGAATTTTTTGAAAATTACACAAAATCTAAGTAACGGAAGTAATTTTCATAAGAGTTTGGAATGTGAGCGGGGTGGCCGAATGGGCTAACGCGTGTACAGCACCACCGTTGCCCGGCAACCTGATCTATGAGACAATGGATTTAACAGTCACGAGTTCACGTCCCAGTGCCGGGGCAGTATTTTAAATCCTCGCCAACACGCCCTGGCCCGGGAAAACCCCGTATATCCTTAAAGGCGAGGAAGGGGAGGACCGAAAAAAAAAAGCCACGAGTTATTTCGTTTTAAATATGTATGGGCAAATGAATATCGTAGTTTTATTGCAAAAAGTCGCCAAGTACACTTTTGGTCGATTTTTACCTGAAGGTACGTAGTTGTTGAATTCAGTCATATTTATTGATGCAATAACTTATTAAGTGCATACCAATTATACCAACCCTTTTTTACGTAAAAAATATTTTCACTAAGTACATCATATTCTGGCTTTACAGAGCAAAAAGTCACTATGAGGTACTTAATGACTATTTTCATAGTGACCAGTGTTGCAGTTCGTACGACGATCCTCGTATTTATTGGAGGTTATGAAGTATTGTACGAGGTACGAGGATCCACCAGTCAGGTACCTCGTACACACTGTTTTGCTGACGTATGCAAGTAATAATTTTATGAATTAAGTTTAAATTTGTGTTACTATTACTTTTACTTTGTTATTATTTGTACTAATATGTAATACTCAACTTTTGTTGTTTTAAAATGCAATTATATTTACTTTGATAGAGAATGATTATTATTTCCATCACAAAACTATGTATATATATTTTTTTTTTAATTTTCCAGATAATGATTTCTTTAAAAGGGAGTGTTACCATTTTGAAAAAATATTTTCTATTTTTATTTAGTATAAAATGAAATATGAGAAAATATGAAGTATGATTATTATTTCGTTTACAAAACTCTCCTGCATTTTCAAACCATTTCAAACAAACAAACCAAAAATAAATAATGCATCTGACTAACGTCCTGGAATTTCATATGAAATATTTTGTGTAATGTACACTTATAAGAAGTACATACCACTGAAAACATAAGGCTTATTTACTGGTCGAACAAATCTAAAATATAACAGTAATAACTTTTTTTTTAGTTCAATAACTTTGACACAGTGAGATATTGAAATAATTAATTATTAATTCACCTTATTTTAGCAGACTCTTAATTATTTAAGTTGGGTGTTACTGATATAGATTCTGGTAGCAAGTCCAGCATGATGGCACCACGTGGTCCTTTTTCTTCAGCCAGTGGAGGTAGCTGCCGCATACGTACCTGAGTGGTAGTATCATCATTCAGTTCCCGAGGCCAATGAGAAATGAATTTTAACACACCTAGGTAGGAATCAAAGAGTACTACTCACTATGGATAGAATCTCGAGTATGCACGAAAATAGACGGAAACGACTGAACCATCTAGTAAGGTCTCGTCCTAAACTGAAAAGAACGCTTTGGGAGTTTTTTTATTCCTTCAGAGCTAGCGTAGCGAGAGTGTGTCGAAAACAGTGACGTAATTAAAGCTAATTAACACCTAATTTTTAATTCAATATGACCAGTAGGGTGATTGCCAAAGCCGTAAATCCTGAAGTAAAGCAAGGTAATTCTGCTAACACTTCAATTCGTCTGTTCTTGGAATTCCATTTATAGCATGAACAAGAATCTTTCCCACATCTCAAAATGGAGTGACATTTGTATAGTGTTACTCAACAAAGTTTCCAGCCTGGCCACTTGGAATCCTCGCCCCAACGTGCTCGGCCATCAAATCTCCAAGCCTGATGGCGGTAAGTAAAAGTTTTATGACGCGCAAACTGTACCAGTTTTTTTCATTACAGCACAATGATACTCTGGATATGTCAGAAAGTGAAATGAAGATTAATTAAGTCGCATTTGAAAAGCCTTACTAACGTTATTCTTGAAGGAAGTAAGTCGACTATTCTACATATCATAGGTGATAAATATTCAGGACGCAGTATTTTTTAAAATTTTTATTTTTTCCAATGTTTCAACCTTGGCAATGTGGGTCATCTTCAGGGCGTTGTTTGAGCACTGAGGGTGTTCAAGTACTCACTGAGGTTGTTCAAGTTGTTTATTTTTAAAAATTAGGATACTTTTTTTATTTTAATTTATTTAATTAAACTAATACACTCTGTTTATATGTAGAGTGTGTGTTTGTATACACAAAGTGTTTTCGACTAAGCATCCGTAGTGGTAGTTAGGCGAGATGAGGCCTATGGCAATGCGCCCTACAAACCCCCAAATAACAGAGTTGGTATTTGCATTTTGATGGGTTGTCGCCAATAATCTTGGCTGTGCTGTGAATGCTAATGCTCTGTTGGTTCCGCTGTTCAGTCAATTGTCTTTTGATTACTCCTCGGGGATATTTCTGTTTTGTGGTATCTTAATGATTTTATGGTTGGTATGCATTGTTTATATACTGAAAGGTCTTAATATATCAATTCAGAGTTCTAACTTGAAGATGTGATGCCCGAAAATGTCAGGGCGTTAGCAACTTCACACTCTAGCGGCGCCAATTCGCATTTAGTGGGTGGGCTGAAATTTGTTTTGACTTGGCCGCACGGAATGAATCTCAATTTTCCTGCTTAAGTATATTTAAACCCCAGAGGAAAAGTCGACATGAGTTATCGAATAACCAATATGGATATATATATATATATATATATATATATATATATATATATATATATATATATATATATATATATATATATATATTGCAATACGTAGACTTTTAGAGTGTATTAATAATCAGCAAACAATAACTAACGAATGTTGAAAATACATTGATTTACAGGAGGAATAACACCGAAATGGTCATTAAAGATGATCATTCGTTTTATAAATTATTCCTCTCGTTTGTTTTATACTATTATTCATTATTCACTTGGTTTAACTTCTGAGTACTTTAGTTAATAATTTTTTGAGAAGTGGATCGCTATGGAGCTTGAACTACACTGTGATCTAAGTACTATGTTCCAACTATATGTGCCTTTCAGTTGACAAAATGACTACAATTTTGCAATCTCTGGTATCACTTTACTCACTGTCAGTTATATTTTTTTTATTTTTCCAACTAGAAATTTCTAAAACTACACTAAAAATTGTTGAAATTATAGTTATTCATTCTGTCAACTGAAAGGCTCATATGTTAACTATATAAACAACTCAACTATTTATGATAGTATTGATTATTATGACATGATAAGTAATTTCTACAGGTGTTTTTTCTGATTCTATTTTATTTTATCTTCTGATTTTATATGGGGTGCATTTGTGCAATGCTCAATATTTCGTCTATTTCGTGGTATTGTTAGAAATAGCCAAATTCGATTCAAACAACAACGTAACAACTAAACATTGTAGAGTCCACCTTCACATAAAATTCTCTAAACACGATAGAAAATATGTTTCTTTTTTCTTTCAACTGGTCAGATCGAAAATTTAAACAGTAAACCTTGAAGCATAAAATTATTAAGATGCAATAAGTATCATTTTGTTTTTTAAAAAAGTATATCATGATTTTTATATGAACATTTATTTATTTAATTTTATTTTATTCTTCTCTAGCCTCTCGGCAATACAGATTTTTGTTAGTAGTAGCGTGATACTTTTGCCACTTATCTTATGGTTATTCGGTCTTCGTTAATGGAGGTTAAAATGGCTACCTCTACTAATTCCTTACGAATGCTTCGTAGTACGGGTTGTTATCCTTACTTACTAGTTGATGGTGACTAGATAATGTTGAGTCCGGTTTCCCTCGTTAGTTTGGCCCTCATTGCTTCAAAAACGGTACAAGTCGTGACAATATGCTCAGCTGTTTCCGTAACACAGCAGTGACATATGGGGTTGGTTTCTTTCTCAAAGCCTTGAAGTTTGGCGCGATTTTAATATGAACATAACAGTTTAAAATTACCTGATAAAAAATAAAGTTTAAATCCAACCAATAATGACAATATTCAATACTCCTTATTATGTTACGAACAAAACCTTACATCATGACCTTAACATCCCTTATATCCTTGACGTTATTCCATCCCGATTTTCAAATTTTCATCAGAACCTAACCTATCATCCTAATCCCTTAGCACAATCCTTATCTAGTTCCAGTCATCCCTACAATCCTCCTCGAAGGTTGAAGCGGCAGTGGCCTCGAGATCTTCTGTTAAGACATCATTGGAGTCCTGGCCAGCTTCTCCACTCAAGTCATGAGCGTATGTGGCTTTAGTGCCCTCTCTCAGTCTCCACTGGATTCCCATCCTAGTAATGCGGCTGAGAGAGAAGC